GGGCCCCGGAGGGAGGTTTGGGGGAGCTGGGGGCTTCTCCATCTTGAAGTGGAATTGCAGGAAGAACTGGGGAGGGGAGAAAAGCAAAGAGAAGGGAACAATCAATCCTCAGAGAACTTTGTGCATCCCACAACACAGCTGCTCCGTCCGTGCTCTCTGCCTCCAGGCACAGCTCGGCTCTCCTGACCCGTTCCCTCCACAGACCACGGCTGTCTCTCTCCCCTGGCAGCATTCACGACTCGCACCAGTCTTGGCCAGTACTTTAACTCCTCTGAAACCAGTTCTAAGCACTAAGCTATCTGTGACGGGGCCACTATCCCCCACTATGCATCCGTCCCCTGCGCTCACGTGCGATACCCAGCGAGTAGCTCCACGCCACGGGCTCACCAGGCAGCTGCGTGCAGGAAACCTGCAGCGAGGAGCCACAGAGAGGGCAAGGCCACGCTGCCACACCTCTATGCACCGTTCCGCTGCTGCTGGCAGCCAAGGACTCTACCTCCCGGGTTAAATTCTCACAAAGATCACACACAGGGAGATCTTTCTGGCAGGAGGAGTCACTGGACAATAGCATTGAAGGAATAAAGATTTTAGCATCAAAGCCAGCACGGGTATCACTGGTGCACGCTCCACCTGCACTGCCTTTCCCCCCAAGCTGCTCTGCCCTCCCGCTCCCCCCTTTAACCCTCCATAACGTCGCAGTGCTCCAGCTACCTGTTTGGTTTCCCTGTTCCAGTGGGTCCAAAACTTTCCTTCTGCTTTGTCGATTTCTCTGCTTGGCACCTGCAACAAAACGGAATAAGGAGCTATTATTAGCTCACAGGCCCTTTTTAGCACCAGAGCATGCAAGATAAGAACAGTTATTCCAGACCTTCATGAGATGCACTAGTCTCGGATGTTATTAGACAGAGATGGGGGCAGGAAAGAATCAAGTTACTTCCCTATCAGTCAAGGACAAGTGCGCTGGCAAAAAACCCTCTTAACATCTGCACAAAGGCTGAGGAGCAAAGCCTAGGAGGCTCCTTTCTGTGCCAGACACCAAAAATTCAATGGCTCCCCAGGGCTCAGCACACAGCCTAGTTTTCATGCCAGAGTCCTCCACTAATTCTCAGTAGGGTTTAATGACTTCCAGCCACGTCTTCTTGAGCCCCCCTTTCCACTTCATTAACCCCCTGAGGGCTAGAACAGAAGTCTGTAATAATGTTCACTGGGAATTAACATCTTGGAAAATATGGGAAGGGAACTTTCCCAACCGTCAGTCCCAAGTCTTACCTTGAAAGCTATGGTTTCGTAGGGCTCTGCTGCCATCAGAAGGTATTGCCAGCGTCTATCAGGGGGCTCAATCCTTTGCTCATAGGCTGACATGAACCGATGACGAGGCATGATACTTTCTGCAATCTCCGGATAATCGATCTGTTGGGGAGTTATTGCAGCATTAAGGACAACATCCTTAATCCTTAACCCTTTTCACTCCCCCTTTGTACAAAACAAATCCCTCAACTACGAAGTGTATCGAGAGATCAGTTCCAAACAGAAAACTCAGTGCCACCAAAGGAAACGGCTCGACAACTACGATCATGATTTGCTCGATACAATCAGCAGCAGAGGGCTAGGAAGGTAAAGTCTTTTTTCTAATGATTATTTATTTCACAAATCCTGCAAAGAACTGCTCATTTAGCAGCACTTTTACTTGGATAACCCAGACACCAAGAATTTTAACAGTGCCCTTACTTGGAAGAGAAGGCTCTGCTGGCCTGTTTCTGGATCTCTCTGTTTGGTCACTGTAAAGAAAATAAGAAAGCTCAGTACATCACCCAGCAGGGTTAAAGCAACATTATTTCTTCCCTAGGAAACACACAAAGCTTTCAACAACAAAATCTTACAAGATTTTTCTCCCATTTATCAAACAAAACACCACATTGTCTTTAACCAAAGCTACTACTGTGTTCAGTTTCGGGCCCCTCACTACAAGAAGGACATTGAGGTGCTGGAGTGTGTCCAGAGAAGGGCAACGAAGTGGGGAAGGGTCTGGAGCACAAGTCTGATGAGGAGCGGCTGAGGGAACCGAGGTTGTTTAGCCTAGAGAAAAGGAGGCTGAGGGGAGGCCTGATGGCTCTCTACAACTACCTGAAAGGAGGCTGTAGCCAGGTGGGGTGGGTCTCTTCTCCCAAGTAACAAATGATAGGACAAAAGGAAACGGCCTCAAGTTGTGCCAGGGGAGGTTTAGATTGGAGATTAGGAAAAATTTCTTCACCCAAAGGGTTGTCAGTCCCTGGAACACGCTGCCCAGGGAAGCGGTGGAGTCACCATCCCTGGAGATATTTAAAAGACACGTAGATGTGCTGCACAGGGACATGGTTTAGTGGTGGGCTTGGTAGTGTTGGGTTAACGGTTGGACTCAATGATCTTAAAGGTCTTTTCCAACGTCAATGATTCTACTACGGGTCTCTACCAAAATTCAGTGGGGCAAAGACACTGTGCAGAACAAAGCTGGGAGATAAAGGAGCCAAGTTTTGGCCCAAAGGTCAAAACAATGAGGAGTTCACAGAAAAAAACATGAGCTATACATGCTATGAGAGATTTATGAGCATTAGTGAAAGATGGTGCAGCACAACAAAAATAAGAGAGACTAAAATGTCATCATCTCCTGCATGACTAATACTAAGAGCTGAAAGACTGAGACACAAAAATCTATTATTAAAACGGTTCTCACTTGACTGTCAGCAATAAAGAGATATTCCATGGGTAATTAAAACAATAAAGGACATCAGGAGATAAGCCCGTATCTTATTCATGGACAGATCTGCTAAAAAAGACTAATTAATAATTCACATCCACAGCACTGCACTTGAGGCAAGCTCCAGCAGGCAACAGGTATCTCCTACGACAGACACCCCTGACATACCTTTATAACCCGGTCGTCCAATTTTCACAAATTTCTTCACTTCCACTTTGACTTTTTCTGGTGCGGGCTGGGCAGGGGCTTCCTTTGCTTCCTTGGCAGCTCGACGGGCTCTGGATTAATTTGAAACGTGCCAAATTTAAAAGGTTAGCCACGCTTGTTTCTAAAGGATAAACTAGGAGCAGCGTGAATCCCTCACCATGGAATACTCAGTGCTTCACAGAAAGCACGGCAGGAAAACCTGCTATTTCTCTTCCACGTGCACCACTACAGGCCAGTGGTGTACATGCCTTCCCTTGACTAAAGATGTCATCTCAATTATCTCATCCACCTCCAAGATGATCCACAGATGGATTTGAGAGTTCTTGAAATAAAAAAGAAAAAACCCCACAAGCTCCTCATCTAAACCAAAGCAAACTGGATTTCCTAAAACAAAACTTACAAACATCTCCCAACCTGTATGCAGAACAACGGATCCTTCTAACCAGACTTGACAGTTTGCCTTTTAAAACTCTTTCTCCCCCTTCCTTCAGAAATCCCACAAATGGCTTTGAACTTGAGCTTGAAATGGAGCTTATCAGCACCAATTTTTTGGAGCAGATCTAGTCCGTACATCCTGACTAGTGCCAGGCTGCTCACTAGGAAACAAAGACAATCAAAGAACATTCAAGCATGGTGTGCTACTATATAATGGAGGTCAAGATTTATAGATACACACAACCATCATTTTAAAGTGCTTAAGTAACAGAGACTAAAGTTACAATGGAGAATGACTTACAAATTGGTCTGATGCTTCTTCCCCTGGGTATGTGCTAAGTAACTTCCCTGAAATACAAAACAAGGCAGGAGAAAGTTAAATGAAGACAGGACTGTTCCTACAGTGCCTTGTCAGAGAGAGACTATATCACACGTTGACAAGGATATTTTAATCCTTAGCAAAGAGGAATCTTACTCAAAAATTGCAGATTGCTCTCAACTGCTGAACTGTCATAAACTGTCAGGCTTGACGTGTACAAGCCACTACCCATCCATCATCTCCTCAGCAGTCAGTCACCTGGTACGTCCCAGGTTCTCGCACTTGAAGCTACTATTATTCTAAAATACCTGCTGCCAAGATGGAGACAGACAGCTCTTCAACTCACCTCGTTGTTGTGCAGCGTTAGGCAAAGCTTGCATTCATAAGAGCCCAAGTGATTTTTCATAAAATATGGGTCCTAGGAAGAGAATTATTAAAAAGTTACAAGCAAAATACACAGCAAAACAGAATAATCAAAAGACTTAATAATGAACTTCTGCTGCACTGGAAGAACTGAGTTCGTAGATTTAAATTAATAGCACAGCACTGCTTTAGGACTGTAAAACCAGAGAGAAACAACAGCAGCTTTGTTAATTGGTGACAGCATACCCAACTGCAGGCAAGAAACACCAAAATATAAACCAGCCCCAAGAACATCAAAAATAATGCAGTAACAGCTACTTGAATACGCAAGTGCTGGCATCTCTCTGGTCAGCCCTGCCACAAATGTTTCTCACTCAACGCCCACATTACCAGAAAAAGAAGTATTTAATTCAAATCCACATCTCTCCACTAAATCTCTCGCCCTCCGAGCTGTTTCACTCGGGCAAAGCTCTGTACTTATCCCCACAAAAGTCTGCAGGATGGGAGCTGTGAGTCTTTTCTTTCCTGCGCAGGCAGGGGCCAAGGCTCACCTTGTTGATGTCGATGGTTTCCAAAGCCAGCTGCCGGAGCCGCTCCCTGCGGTCTCGGTTACTTTCCGAGGCAGAGGCTACGCCTCCGCTCCCGGTTTTGCCTCCAGGACGATGCTGGAAATCCATGATAGGGATTTCTGTGCTTCAGCTACTTATGGAGAAAGATGGAGTCTGGAAAAGTGAGGAAAAGTAACGTGAGCGATAACAAAGGCTTTTCCTAACCCGGAGTTCACACCACTGTTTAGACCCATCAGTAAGGGCTCGAGACAAGCACAAGTCGTGCCCTGGGCACTCCCCACGTAACACAGTTTCACACAGACCAGGTCTTGTACCACTCGGTGAGTTGAGCAGAAGTGAAATGATCCAAAATAACGAGCCCCAGAGCCCTTCCCATCTCCTCAACCGCTGCTTCTACACAGAGATGTATTCCTCCCCCACAGGCTCAGCAGGGCCCAGCAAGGCGCAACAGCTACACCAGTGACACCCCCCCAAACAGGAGCCTCCCCAGGAGACCCCAACCCTCCAC